CAAATCTCGTAAGGATTTAATAAGATAGATGGCTTTGTTTAATTTTTGAACTAAATGGTGAATGTGAGAGGACCAACTTAAATTCTCTGTAATATATATACCTAAAAATTTTAAATTAGCTGTGTATGTTATTTTCGTATTATTCAAATAAAGTTCTGGTTTATCAATTAGACGGGGACCACGTCCCTGAAAAAAGAGTTTGGCCAGTTCCATGAGGTTTTGGTGGCAATCCCAGACCAATTTTGAATTAATCTGGTGTTTGTCAAGCGCTTTAAGTGCAGCTTGGCTGTCAGAATGTAGATGTTCCTATTTCTGTAGTTCCTATCTAAATTCTCCATAATACATGCTTTAATGGCATATACTTCTGCCTGGAATACTGTTGTGTACTGCCTGAGGCTGAAACTAAGTTTCTGCCTCGTGCCATAGCAGAACACAACCTCCAGTGCCCTTATTTATCTTGGAACTATCTGTATACCAGATCAGTCCCCCTTTTCTATTGGGCTGAAACCCGTCTTCCCATTCACTCCTGTCAGGAAATCTGACTGTGAAGGGTTTTTCATATACATGTCTCAGTATCATTTTGCCAGACCCCATTTGTAATATTATGGGTTCTTTCTTCATGTCCTGAGTTATGTATGCATGTCCGAAACTATTGGATTTAGGTTTCCATTGATCACTGCACTGGAGACGGTAGATTCCTGCCCTGGCCTCTGCCTCCAACTGTAAATGCAGTGGGGGGAGTCCAAGGAGTGTCTCCAGTGCAGCTGTTGGAGATGTTTGAATTGCTCCTGTGATACCCAAGCAAGCCAAACTTTTGCAGTTTGCTAAGTTCTGCCTTGCTTGTCTCGAGTTTAACACTAGGCCACCATACTGTGGTGCCGTATGTAATTATGGGTCTTACAACCGCAGTGAATATCCAATGCACCACGTGTGGCTGCAGTCCCCAAGTGTTACCGAACATGCTTCTGCATGTCCAAAAAGCCTTGTAGGCTTTATTGATGACCTTGTCCAGCTGCTTTTTCCATGTCAGTCCCTTGTCTAATACTAGACCAAGGTACTTGACATCGCTGGAGAGCTGGGTCGTCTTATTGAAGAGGGTCGGTTCCTTAAGGCCCTTTATATTTCTCTTCCTGGTAAACGGTATAATTACCATCTTATTAGGATTGATGTAAAGGCTTGTTCTTTCACACCATTGTTGGACTGTGTACAGAGCTGTTTGAAGACACTCTGATACTGTTGAAAGGAATTTTCTTTTTATGAGGATTGCTATGTCATCAGCATATCCTACTGTATAATACCCATAATCATTAAGTCCCCACAGGAGATCGTCAACGACCAGGCTCCACAGCAGAGGCGAGAGCACGCCTCCCTGCGGACCACCCCTAGACGCGGATGCCCCCAGGGTCTCTCCTGATGGTGTGGCAGTTATGGTTCTGCTTTCCAGCATAGCACTGATCCACCTGCATGTTGCAGGCTCTGTGCCATGCTTTCCAGTGGCCTCTTTGATTATATCAAACGAGGTTCTATCGAAAGCTCCTTCTATGTCAAGGAATGCTCCTAAGGCAATATCTTTGTGTTAAATCACACTTTCTATGTGTGTTACCGCATTATGTAGTGCCCTTTCGGTAGGTTAACCTGTTTGGTAGGCATGCTGGTTTCGGTGTAGAGGATATGTCTTCAACGCCCCGTCCCTGATATGCCTATTCACTATTTTCTCCATCATTTTCAAAAGGAAAGACAACAGGCTGATAGGATGATAAGCCTTAGCTTCGGTGTAATTTAGTTTCCCAGGCTTTGTGATAAATGTCACCTTAACTTGCCTCCATGCCATGGGGATAAATCCATATACCACGCAGGCTCTATATATGCGGCATAGGTGTGGAACTGTGAGTTCTGCCGCTTGCTGCAAAAGTGCTGGTACAATTCCATCTCTTCCTGCTAACTTAAATGGTCTAAAGGTATTCAGTGCCCATCTGATTTTTGATTGTTATGACTTTGTCCAGGTTGCAGTCTACCCTGTTCGTCTTGCTTTGGCAAGTACCCAGGTTTTGCTGTCCCTGTCCATCATCCAAATTATCAATCAGTTTTGAATCAGGAAAGTGAACCCTGAATAATTCATTCGGTGTCTCCCTTCCTGTTTGAGTATACTGCCTGTTAGGCAGCTTAATCGTGCTGACCTTGTTGGTCGCCTGTTTTGCCATGATTCTCATGAGTCTGGCACCATCTGGTACATAATTGATCTCCTGGCAGTGCGTCCTCCATGAGGATCGCTTGGCTTTCCTTATTTCTTTGCTGTAACAGGTAAGGGCTTCCTTGTAGGTGTCCCACTACCCTGTTATTTTAGCTGTATTAATGAATGTATAAGGGGTGGGCCTCCTTGGCCCTTGCACCGTGACCACAGTGATCTATTGTGCCTTTTAGCTGTATTAAACAGCCTTCTCATTTTGGTTCTAAGCCCACTCAGCTGTTTATTCCACCAAGGCCCTGTCCTTGGTTCGCAAGTGGTCCTAGCCAGACAATTCCTATTAAAGGACAAGTTTGCTGGTGCTTTTTCTGTTAGAGGCTGACTCAACCCCTGGGCCATAGTGCGGCTGGAAGGATTAGGTCAATTGAAAGTCCAGTGACCTTCATCAGAAATCAAACCCATGACCTTCTGGCTTGTAGCATAGTGCCTGAACCAACCACATTACCGTTTGCCCCATACATTACAAGTCAGCGTATTATTCAGAGAGCCTCTTTCTCTATTTACTAATTTCTGCAATACTTAGGAGTGTTGTTTGAACTAGTTATAATACGATGAATGTAGTTTGTTTTCACAATTTTTATTACAATATTGTATTCCTTTTAATATGTGTTATACTTATCTCTATGTGCCTGAATGTTTCTTTGCATATAGAGATTGTATAATTTTTTTGGTTTTCTTGCTGTAGTAAGATTGTTAGTTATCCAATGAACATTCAAAGAACTTAACAGTATTTCTTCTAACTTTTGGACAGGCAAAATTAAAATAATAGTTAAAGATACTGTAAAAAGAATCCCATTTCTTTTTTCTTAATATAATTTTCCTGGAATACATTGATCCAAGTTTAATTTTGTATTAAGGAACATATGCCTATTACGAGTATGTTGGCTTCTGATACATTCTTGATCTCCTTATAATATCTAATTTGTTGAGGTACAGTCATATTAATGGTGATGCACTGTGCATAGTGGTCTGAAAGCAGGCTGATTATTACATCAGTGGAGTAGCATTGTGCAGGCATGTTAGTAATTTATTTTGTCCATAATTGTTACCCCTCCTTGTTGGTGTCTCCACCTTATCGTGGTGAGGGGGTTTGAGTATGCCAAGGACCCTGAGAGCTATACCAGTGGTAGTGTAGCTGGACAGGTCAAAGGGTAGGCATCAGACAAAGAGAGACACCAAAAACCAAAAACTGATGCCGGAAGCAGCGTCATTAGCAGGGACTTGAACGACTTGAAGCACAGAGCAAATGATGCTCGAGTTGGTTCAAGTTTGTATAGCAACAGGTGTGACCAGAGTGGTTTGAACGACTGTTGTACTGCGATGTGGAAAGCAAATGGAAAAACTACCACATTATCACTTTTCCTGGATAGTCTCTTTCCAAAACAGAGATACCAAGTATGCGAGATGTTTCCTCTGGAGACAAAACAAACTGGAGGGGCGGATAGAAGTGCCCAGAAGACAAGGAAGAAGATGTAAGAAGATGCTGGATGACCTTGGGGACAGAAGAGGATATTCTTATTTGAAGGAGAAAGTTTGAGATCGCATTAAGTGGATGAACTGTTTTGGAAGAGACTGTGGACCTGTCGTCTGACAGATTACTGATGAATGAATGAATTGTTACCATGCTTTCAGTTATTGGGTTGGTGTATTTATTGTCAGAGTCAGATTATGTCTGCAACATCTAATTGTTTGTGGTGAAACCCATCCTCTTTGATATTTATGTTTAAATCTCAAACAGTCTTTCTGTACTAATTGCTCCAGAATATCTATTAAATGTACAAAAAATTCACATAGTACACCTCTAGCTGATCTGTATAATGCCTTAGTTATTATTTTTTTCTTTCACCTATCAGTTCTACACCAGTAAGTAAGTAAAGGTATCCCTGTAACAGGCCGTGGAGGCCCATAGGGTTGTGAGATGTTGAGGTTCCCACATTTTCTAGACAATCGGCTCATATATGGTGGTAAGGTTGTCAGCCCTATGCGTCAGCCGTCCTTTACCCCCAAGAATATTCCTGGTATTCATTTCTGTTAGAGGCTGAGTCGACCCCAGGGCCATAGTGCGGCTGGAAGGATTAGGTAAATTGAAAAAAAAAATCCAATGACCTCATTGGGATTCGATCCTACGACCTTCCAGCTTGTAGCATAGTGCCTCAACCAACTACGCTACCGCATGCCCCCTCTACACCAGTAACTTCTGTAAGTTATTTCTGTGCTTTTTTCTATGATCCATTTTAAGTGCTTATAGTATAGTATGTTCTTAGAGCTGTAAATAGCCATCCCACTCCCTTTACGCTCCTTTCTACAAAAGTGTGAAACTGCAGCATAACTTTCTAATATACATTGAATTATTTGATCATCTTTAAGATCATGTTCAGAGATACCAAGATATCAGGGGTGGTAGTTTGAAGGAATGTTGTAAATAATTCAGTTTTGTTTTTGGTTTAATGTAGATTTTAATGCTTTATTTTAAGTTTTTGTTTTGATTGATTTTTTATGACTGAAGCCTTTGAGATCTAGCCTTTTTTATTAGTTTCCATGATTTGAAAAGCCTAAAACTATTACATCTGAATTGATTTCTTTTGTTATTGCCTCTTATTTTATTTATATCTTGAATAATCACTTCTACATTCCTTAATCATTTACATATGTTATTTATATCCACATTTTCTTTCCTGATTTCCTTATTGACTATTGATTCTTTCATTAGATCATGCCTAGTTGGTATATTGAGAACAACAACACCTGCATCACAAAAACCATATATTAAATGCATATTGACAAATTCAGCATGATTAAGTCACATAATCCCATCTTGCTGTTGGAAGTAATGTGAGCCATAAGTGAAGTTGTATGTGTTCTGTCTTATGAAATTTTGAAGGCTCTATCACATGAATGTATACTGAATCAGACTGAAAGTTTGAAACGCTATAAATTTTTAGTGGTGATGAATCAGACGATGTCTCCTCAACATCCTCCCAAAGTTTGGCCACAGGGTTTTGAATCATTATCTATATGTGAAAGTTATATTTTATTGTACTTTCATTTAATTGTTTGAGTAAATTATACTGATGTTTGCTTTTTTTCTAGTGCTTATGATACTTCAGTTTTTGGAAGACCTAACATGTCTAAAAAAAGCAAGGAGCCCAGAGATAACGTCAGTAACCAGTATGTCAGTGATTCCTCTATACCTTTATCTTCAACTGGAGAGAGGTTCATGACCCATCAGCCACAAACTCCTGCATCTCATGTTGGCGCATTAATACGATCTCGATCAATTCCTTGTCTAAAATATGGGGATGAAGATGCTCAAGGTGGGAGTAAATTCTCGTTTGTTAGATCTTTAGGGCTAGCAGAGAGAACCCCTGTTAGTCATTTCTGTACACCATCTCATAGTGGCAGTGGACGACTCAAGTTAGATGAGCACTCTAAATCAAAACTCGTGTCTCAGAAACAACTATCTGATCAACATCACAGAACACCTTCAAGATGTTTTTCTGCTGAAGCAAATCTCCACAAGGTAACAGCCACACCAGACTGTTTCAATAAGGTTCACATGGAGACTCCAAGGAGTAAATTTGAATCAGTAGACCTTCCAGTACTTCTTGGTGAAGAAACAAGTAACCTCACAGTTGGAGTACGTGTAAGGCCATTAATTATGCGAGAACAGAATGACACTGCTGTGGTAACTGTTGTCAGTGTGGATGGGTGTGAGATTAAGGTGATATGTGAATCTGGAATTTCATATAGATTCACGTATGATCACTGCTTTTGGTCTTGCGATCCTCATCACCCCAGATATGCAAGTCAGGATGTGGTCTTCACAACAATGGTTCAACCACTAATAGACAAGGCCTTCCTAGGGTACAACGCCTGTCTGTTTGCATATGGACAAACTGGCTCTGGGAAAAGTTACAGGTTTGTTTATATACCAACAGTTTATAGTTCATCTTAGTTTTATTTTTCTTTGGCAATGAATCTTCCATAGGATACATAGATTTGTTTTTATTTTATAATATAGGTTGAAATTTTTCATCCACTTCTAGCATTCAGAATATCTTTCTGTTTATACATCTGGCAGAAATTTTTTGAAAATCTGGTAACCAGAGAAATACTTTTGTCATTAGAAAAAATTGTTTTTTTTGGGGGGGGGGGCACATTATGGCTCATGCTTCAGCTTGACCTGCAGTGTATTAATTTCTTCTTTAATATTGTTTGCCCTAAATGCCTGCATGTCAGGCATAATATTATAATTAATTATAATATATATATTAATTGATTAATATAATTAATTATATTAATTATAATAACTTACAAACTACAGTGATATTAACTTCTGTGGGTGTGTTTTGACACTTCCTTTGTACAACAAATGACCAGATAAGACGGCCAGAAATCCACAAGCCAATACCTGAATGGTAAGTGGGATATTAGATACCAGAAAACATTTTCAATTGCCACCAGGAACCAGGTGACCAGATTTTTTGACTCCTGGCATGCATATGTTATTAATGTCTGTTGTATCATATCTTGTTCTTATTATGTGTTGTTAGGCTTTGTTGTATTTGAGATATTTTTAAAGCGTGTTGTGTTGTAAGTTTACTTGTTTCATCTCCTAAACATCAGGATCCATTGAATGCACTTATTTATATCGGGTATAACCATACATGCATAATCAAGTATGATGGGAAGTCATAATGTTTTAAATAATAACATGGGAAAAACATAATTCCAAAATATCGCTCTATATAGGAGATAGCCCATTTCTTGAGCTTGCTGCACCAAGTGGTCAGAGGGAACCACTGGAAGGAGCAGAAGCAAAATGGCAACATCAGTTGAGAAAGTGGAGGCTCGCGCTGTGATATGGTTCTTGCATTTGCAAGGGAAGTCTGCCAGGGAAATCCATGACCAGATGACCGCTGTGTAACAGGAAGGTGTCCCATCATATGATAGTGGTGAGGTGGAAGAGGCCCTTTCATTGTGGACAGACAAACCTCGAAGATGAACCCCAAAGTGGAAGACAATCTCTCACTGAGGAACTGGGAATTGTGGTACAGGTGGAAGCTTTGATCCTATCTGATACGCGCATAACCATTGAAGGTATTGTTCATGAGGTCCGCATTAGCCATGGGTTGGTTTTCAGCATCATCAATGATGAGTTACACATGACAAAGTTCACTGTGTGTTGGGTGCCACGATTGTTGACACCAGTTCAAAAACAGCAACGGATGGATGTGGCAAAGAAACTTTTGCATTTGTGTCAAGATAAAAAGGTGGAATTTTTCAACTGCCTGATCACGATGGATGAATGTTGGGTCTATCATTATGACCCTGAAACAAAGGAAATGAGCAAACAGTGGAAACATGTAGACTCACTGCCACCAAAGAAGGCCAAATCCCAGCTATCATCAGGAAAGATGATGTTGAATGTGTTCTGGGATCTGCGGGGTGTCATCATGACCAACTACGCACAAAATGGCATCACCATCACTGGTGAATGCTACCAGAACCTTCTGAGAAAAGTGATGCGCAATGCTGGGAAAAGGTGTGTGACTTCTTCACGACAGTGCACTGGCTCATGCTACGATGACACTTGGTGCCAGTTTGGTATATGAAATTCTCCCCCATCCACCATATTCACCAGACCTGGCACCGAGTGACTTCTTCCTCTTTCCACGGCTAAAGAAGCCACTTCATGGTAAGCGATTCCAAGACGATAATGATGTTGTTTCTGCAGTGAAAGTCTTCCTGAACAGTCAAAATGAGACCTTCTGTGATCAAGGTTCCAGCAGCTAATGCATCATCGGGGAAAATGTGTGGCCTTGCAGGGCGCACATGTAGAGGAGGACTAACTCATATACAATTTTTTGCACCTGTGTGTCTGTTTCTTCTGGATGATAATTAAAATTTTATGACTTCCCCACATATAGTCATTTAAGATGTAGACTGAAATACAGAATGGAATGACAGTCTATCTAAAGGAAAATTTGAACAGAGAGTATCTAGTTGGAAAAGTCATAAATCAAGGAATATTAAATTTTGATATTATTTCTTTGTTGTGTTCCTTCACTTCAAGGACATCACTGGCTAAACATGTTATTGTCAGCTCTGCCATGCACATTAAAACATGTACTAAATATGTATGTATGCATTGCTTTCTGCCAATCATATAGAGAATATAATTTTTTAATTATTCTGACAGTGGTGTATAACACTTGGGATTAATGAGTTTTTGGATGCAGTTCAGCAGCTTAAAAGCCGAACACTATACGCCTGATATAGGAGCCAAAACATGTTGTGTCCATAAAAGTCTTAATAAAACAAATGTTGATACAGTAGTGTCTTCTTTGTTTTAAAATACAGAGTGTTGTTGTGTAGATGGTATATTCTTGTATGCTTTGTAGCTTATATTTTTATTTTTATTTTTCTGCAGTATGATGGGAATGGATATTGAGATTGGAAATACCATTGGTAAGGAAGCTGGCATCATTCCTCGCTTTTGTTATGAGCTGTTTGAGCGTGTTGCTTCCCTAGGAGACTCGAATGTTGGTGCAACAAAGTGTACATCCAACACTGCTAATGTTGAGATCAGTTATTTTGAGATATACAATGAGAAGATTCATGATCTTCTAGGAGGATCTAGTGATGGTGGAAAACGTACTCCGCTCAAAGTGCGAGAACACCCTGTGTTTGGCCCATATGTTGTGGATCTTTCTGTTCATGGTGTCACATCTTATGAAGATCTCCAGGTTTGTAAGATTTGAGGCTTTCATGGCGGTGACTATGAAGAAAGCAGTCTTCTGGGATTTGGCACATATACACGGTGCCAAATCCCAGAAGACTGCTTTCTTCATCTCCAGGTTTCTTCCAAAAATATGTTTAGGGAAACATATACCATATGTTTGACTATAAATTGAATTTGCTGAATAGACTTTTCAATATTTAAGTATTGAGAATGAATTACTTATATGTATGAATACTGACATGGAGACCAGAAGAACCCCTTAACCTTTATTAGATGAAATGAAATGTGTTTTCCTTGCTGTGCCTGCATTTAAACAGCTGAGCACAGAACAAGTCTTATCACTAGGGACCAGATTTTTATGCCCTAATGATACCTTAAATATATATGCATTTATGCATGAAAAACTTCCAAAATATGCACATAAAATTTTATACCAAGTATTAAATTTGATTTTACATTATTTTAAGACCAACAAATCAATATTTAAGTTCATTTTATGTAATCACTGAATGATTTACGTGCAATAAAAAGCTATACTTAAATACAAATTAGGCAACAAAACCAACATATTTCATTACAATTTAAAAAACCAATGGTACTCACATTTAGCTCTCTGAACTTTCAACTTCTCTTCTGTTGCAGTTCACAGTTACTAAATGTTTTAGGTTTTCCACAGTCAATCACCTCCTATTGTCTCGTAAGATGTCCTTATAGCGGGAAAAACTTCTTTTCACCGCACAGGAACTTAGGGGCGCATGTACAAAAGCCACTATTTGCTCCACTGTTAGTGATTTTTTACTTGGCAGTTCAGTACGTTTACCGGCTAAAATTTCTTCAGTTTCACAAATTTGTTCATATCCTGGATTTTTTAAAGAATGCTGTGTACTTTTTCCTTTACTACTTCACAAACTCTTCCAGGAACCAAATTCAATTTGGAAACAGTGGTTTTGAACACCCTTAACAACTGATACAAAGTAGTATTGCCATTGCTTGCCTCCAGTGAGGAAATGGTGGATGGAAGATGAGAGAAGTGAGCAGATATATAGGAAAGATTAGTTTCTAGTTCTGTGTTTTTTAGTACATCTTGGGCAATTTGAATTGATGCTGCACTTTGGGATGAAATGTATTCACGACATTTCTAACTGTTTTGCTGCACACAGCAGCGTGCCCTAGCATGTTAAAATTGGTTCTGGCTGAAGTGGAACGCTCGGTGCTACTGCTTTAAAGGCTTCCTTTCTGTATGGCGCTTTAACAAATACCTTCTTCACAGAAGACACCAACTTTTCAAGAAACGGAAAATTTGCATGAATTGTTTCTGCAACATGGTGCAACCCATGGGCAAGGCAAGTCAAATGTGTCACATTTGGAAATATAACTTTACAAGCAGTGCAGGCTTTCATCATATAACTTGCGTCATCAGTCTCAAAGAGCAATACATACTGAATGCCATTTGGCCATAGTAAATTCGTGGAATTGATAAAAAATTTGGAAATTATGTAGCTATTTGTGGTTTCAAATTCCTCTACCGCAAGAAGATATGTGGTAGATTGTTATTATGGGATCCAACTATACAATTTGCAATAAAGCGTCCCTCCCAATCTTGTGTTTCGTCAATTGATACCCACACAAAATTATCTTGAATCTTATCTCTAAAGCTTTCAGTTGTAAGATCATAACATTGCTTCACGTAATTTTTGCGCACAGTAGATTCGTCCGGCACTTTGCACTGTGTATACTTATCTGTGAAGTTTCTCAGAGTAGGATTGGTTAGTTTCCACAGCGGAATATCTGCCGCTAAAAAGGCTTCGCATAAATCAAAGGAAAAATGTGAAAAACTATTATTAGAAAATTCACTAAGCAATTTTTGAACAGGAGCACTTTTCGTCGATTTAATTTTAATATTCTCTTTGTGTATATTAGAGTTCAAATGCTGAAGTACTTGAAAGCGTTTTTCACAACCAACTGTTTTCTTACACGCTCGGCAATAAAGAATTTCATTATCCGTAGTCATCATCTCTCCTTCGAACTTCCGCTGATACAGCTGTAATTTAGTTTTCTGACTTACTTTCACTTTTGGCATTACTACAGAAAGCTAAACAAACTTAACACTTTGCAGACCGGAAAATTATTTAAATTATTAAATATTATTAAATATTTAAATCCCCCTGGGGACCGGAATTTTTATACCTACTACCCTAACTTGTGCACTGTTCACTTTAAAAATTAATATAAAATCTAATTAATTTTATGAACTAAAATTTTTGGAGAACACTTACCAATTCTCCTAGAAGTGCTTGAGAGTGTAATATTTTTGGAAACATTCCCCTTTGTGAAGTGGCATTATACGTTTTCAAATGTAGACAGTCATAGCCCTTTTTTTGTGAACTGTGCAAACACGGCATTGCCTAGAAGGATTCTTCCCCTTGGAATGTTCACTCTTCACAATTTCCACGAGGGTATTTTTAGGCATATCACTTGAGAGTCGCCCCGGGGGGGGTCCATATGAGGACTTCATGGGGTGGGAGTTGAAGGGCTAAGTCTTTGTGTGACCCTGGTTCTGCCGCCACCATCTAGACTGTAGCCCTGGCCTTTGCCACATTCATCATAAATGCTTTGTATTTCAATTTAGAATCAGGGTTTAGATTTTTGTAAACCAAAAATGAATTGAAAATGGCCCAATTTATAAGCCACAAGGCAGTTTTTATTATCTGTGGCCACAATTCTTTGTTGACATCTGTCACTTACACTGTCTGAGTCACTAACCACTACTCCTCCACAAGGCAGTCAGATAGCTCCATGCTTGCCTTCAACCACTTTTGACCTTGAAACATATTCCCCTCTACTAACTTCCTGCCTGGTACATAAACAGCTGGAAGGGGCAAAGTTTATTTTCTTTTGGAGTAGGGACCCTAGCCAGCCAGGTCAAGTTACTGAATACCTAGCATACATTCGAAGATTTATTACGCAGTATTCATTGCAGTTGTGTGGCCCAGAGCAAGGTATAGTGTGTTTCAAAATAATTTGTCCTAAAGTCATAATAATGTGCCACCGGTCCCCCACATTTAAAAGCGCTGGGCATAAAAATATGCCACCAGTCCGCAAAGTGTTAACTACAGACTAGTCATCACTAATGTGAATGGCCCCCAGCTTCAAATGAAGAGATGTAGTGAACCTCATGGAGACTTAGGAAATAAATAACTGAAGTCCCTTATCGGTTGAATAGTATTGTAGCGTGTTTTGTGTTCAAACCTTGTTGGTCACATGTGTAAGTTCAAATCCCACTTCTGACACCAGTGTGGCATGTTTTGTGTGTCACGCTACAAATAACTTCACGCCGTTGTTTGGTATAGCGAATTTATTCCGTTCGCTCACCTTACACACACTTTACAACCATTTCCACTTGCAGTGTTACAATTACTGCTTACAATATCTCGGCGGTACTGGACTAGTGTGGCGGTTGTTCCAAGACACTCTTCTTCGAAGGCTGGATAAAGACTGACTGTGCCAATGCATTCAACCCCGCTATATAACCTCGGTCGCTGCTATGCAACGAACCCTTTGTTATGACCATGGAGACTCCTGTTAGAACTACAATAGAGCGATTGTTGTTTCCTATGCAACGGTCTGTTGTAGCGTTTCCATAGAAGTGACTTCTGGATTCCAGACATGTTACAGTATTACATTGATAGCGGCTACATGTTAATGCTTCCAACAAATTTCTTCGCGGCCACTTTGATGGTACGCGGATGAGGCAAGTTACGAGTAGAGGGATCGGGGAAGTCCCGTCCTGGCTATTGCATCAGAAACATGAATCATGACGAAATGTTGAGTCAAATATGCAACATATTCTAATAAGGAAAAGAAAAAAAAATTGTATACACACAACCATGATTGAAAATTTGAACATAAAATTAAAAAACTGATATGATAAATATTTTTAAAAGGAAATATGCAGTATAAATAGAGATCTTCGAAAATATGATGCTTATTCATAAAAGAGGCAAAATATACATTTATATGCACCATCAAACCATGTCCAAAATTTAAGAAAGGAAGTAATTCATACATATATCCAAACGAGCATACTTTCTGGTTGCAAGAAAGAAATATGCATTTGCACGCTGAGATTCTGAGTGTTGACTGTATATATTTAGAGGAGAAGAAATTGTAATTGCCTGCTGTACTTAAGAATGTATGTATGAAAATTCAAGAGTGTCATATTTTTGTTAAGGAAAATTAACCTCTATTAAAAATGTTATATTTTGGCGTCCTGTTACACTGATTCATGTCCATGGTTTATGCTAACCGTCTTACAGTGTATACACTTTTTCACCTTATTCTTCACTTCCACACTACATGTTTCAGCACTAATGTGCCATCCTCAGGTGTCTTTATGCACGTTAAACTATTGTACTGCATGCCATGATGTCTTCATTCTAAAATGGCTAAAATCTGTATTCGTCATATATGTCGATGAATTCTAAATAATAAAACTTTTCAGGATTTACCCTACGTCGCACTCAAACGTGCGAATTACGCTGATCCTCTTTTATGTGAGCATTCTTCCTACATACATTTGTGTATCGTGATCTGTGTTGTGTTTTGCTCCTGTTACTGCATGCGTTGTACTGCTGGATATGTGTCATTTAGTCATTTTAGAATGAAGACATCATGGCATGCAGTACAATAGTTTAACGTGCATAAAGACACCTGAGGATGGCACGTTAGTGCTGAAACATGTAGTGTGGAAGTGAAGAATTAGGTGAAAAAGTGTATACACTGTAAGATGGTTAGCATAAACCATGGACAAAATTAACCTCATTTGAGGGGTTACTTAAGCTATAGAAAGCTGTAATGCATTGCGAAAGTGTAGATTGTGTGGTGATTTTATTGTTCTCTCAGAGACAGATGTTCTTTGTTACAGAAAAAGAGATGATATATGCCTGTTGTTTTATTATGCTCTTGGGAGAAGTGATCTTTGTTTCTCACAGAACCAGATAACATGTGACTTTCCTCTATAACTTTTACAGTCTTGTTCATATACTTCACGCACCACAGTCATGGTGTTCATGAAGACATGCTAGGTTACAAGAAGTCAGTAAAATGAAATAACATAGGTGATTACTTATATCACTTATGATAGTATTAAGGTTTTCTGCAATGTATAGCCATGATCTCTCAGAAATGAAACCTTGTGTTGGTAGAGTTTGGGATGGTGCTCACTACACAGACCTATATTATGTTTCCAACACCGACATTTTGTTCAATTTTCTTTGGTCCATGCATAACTCAATAAAAATCACAATTTTTTCCCCCTGTTTCGCCAAGTGTTCACTTTGTCACACTTCCTTATGGGGTGGCATGAGGATGAGATGCCCTACTATCTTCAGTTACATTTCTGATCAAGGCAGGTCCAAAATTTCTATGAGATATTTTACAGTCGCAAAATTTCAGCAGAATCCAGCTATTCAGGATTGACAAATCAAGCAGGTGGAAAGTCATTTTAGTGGTCTGTTTTGTGATTTGTAAGAGCTGTCCTCAGTAATGCCCAAACAGGCAAGCCCTTTCAGTTTGCTGGGTATAGCTCTCCTGGTTTTAATTTGACCCTAGGCTGCCACATGGTGGCTGAATATGTAATTATGGGTCTCACAATCATCATGTCTGACCAGTGCAACCTCTCTGGACTCAGTCCCCAGGTCTTCGCAAATGTGTCCCTACAGCTGCAAAAGGCTCTTTAGGCCTTGTTCCTTACCTTATCCAGCTGCTTCTTCTAAGTCAACCCTTGTCTTCATTTAATACAAGGACTTGAACACAGTAAGCAGTTGTATTGTTTTGTTGATTCCTTATGTCCGTTCAAGTCTCTCTTCCTGCTAAGGGGCATTATTACCATCTTAGTAGGGTAGATAAACAAAATGTCTTATACCACTGCTGTACTATGAACAGAGCTGTTTGTAGCACCTCTGACAGTCTGAGGGGATTTTCTGTTAAATACAATTGCAGTGTCCTGGTATAATAATCACCATGTGACAGTGCAGTTATTATGAAGAGAATAACTTCTGGGATATAACTGCATATAGTCAGTTGGAAGTTAACCGACATTTCAGAGAAACATCTCCATCTTCAGAGTCGAAGAATAACCTGACCAAGAAACCAGCATGAAAGCAGGTGACAAGCAGAGCTTACATATAGTTTACATGTTTCTCCTTTCCAGCATGGAGTGGATCCACTCAGTGCCTTGCCTTTCAACATCCTGTTGTATTACATCAAGAAATACTGTCAAAAGCTCCATGTCAAGGAAAGCCCTAAGGCCATAACCTTGTGTTCAGTAGCAGTTTCAGTGTGCATCATCACATTATGAACTACAGTTTCAATCTGTATTCCAGTTTGATAGATATATTGGTTTCCATGCAGAGGATACCCTTTCAGTACACTCCCTAACATGCTTATCCACTAACTTCTCCATTGTCTTCGAGAGAAAAGATGGTGGGCTGATAGGATGACGAAATTTGGCCATAGTACAGTCAGATTCCCCAGTCTTTGATATAAACATCACTTTCGCCTGCCTCAAAGCCATAGAAATGTATCCATATGCCAGATAAGCTCTAGATACACAGCACAGGCATGGGACCAAACTGTCCATCACTTGCTGCAGAAGTGTAAATATACTCATCTGTTCTTTTTCTTATTTAAATTGGTTAAAGGTGCCTAAAGCCCATATAATTTTAGATTCATTGAATAAATTTCTGGCCAGGTTCCAGTCTCCCCTCTTTGTTCTGTATCTGCACAAGTCTAGGTTGGGTTGCAAACATGCACATGTTAACTTTGTAATGTCAGTCTGTATGCATGTAACAACTCGAGGACCACTGAACAGGTTTTCATGAAATCTGATGTAAGGGAGATTTGACACATGTCAAGTACAGCTCATTAAGTACTGATTAGAGTGAAGAATGTTTTGAATAAATGTTGCTGAGAAAAATGAAAAAAGAGTTTGTGTCCAGTATATATTTCCTGGATTTTTTTGGTTTTTTGATATAATGAAACAAAAGGGAGCAGGCATGATGGAATTATTATTCTATGGATTCGTTTTCCAACTAGATTCTTGTACGTTTCTCTGTTTCTGCAGCAGCTGAATTATTTCAGCATGCAGTTTATTCATGGTCTGAATGCCATAGAGTGAACAGACAAATTCTTACACAGTGATAACGATTTTTCTCAAGTACTGCTGCCTGCCTTTCACATGCAGCACATATTACCATATTTTACAGAAGAGCCATCTGCTTCTAAGCAGGTCTCAGATTTTGAAAGTGTTTATAGGCACATAACACTGCCATTAACTTGGCTTTGTGAACTGCATGGTGATTTTTTGTGCTGCAGTAGTGATTATTTTGACCGTTCATGTTGATACTCAAAGTAACCAGCATTGCTTAAGGGAGAAGCACAAAAGCCATTTTCAGTACCAGATCCTTATTTTATTCTATAGAGGCATACAGTTGCGTACATTGAGCCTGTAAGTTTATGTTAGTAGTGTAGGCTTCCATTTCTGAGACAAGATGGAAAGGCAAGTAGCATAATTCTTTGTGGCTTTCAGTCATATGGTATCATTCAGTTCCTCTTTGGTCAGAATATGTTCAATGCAGACAGATAACCAGACTAATGTATTGTGGCATGTAGACCCATTGCTAGACAATGATTGTGAAACAAGGAACTATACAGCAGTCATTCCGCTCCGCAAACAAGCATGTTTCCACATCAACCAGAGAACACAGCAATAATGGAAGAGACATTTCCTGTGTGATCCATGCTACGATGTTATAACCAGGACCAATTAGCAGTTGCAGTCAGTTAGAGAACTGCTGGGGTTCAGTCATTGTGAACTCTTGCTGTTAGAAGCTGGTAGCTGAGGCACAGGGACAGTTCAGGAACCCACAGGAAAGGGAACATCTGCCATTGAAAGCTGCTACCAAGCGACACGAGTATCCATGTTACTGTGGACACGTGTGTGTGTGTGTGTGTGTGAACAGTGAACTATGAAGTGTAGTCATGCACTGTATCAAAGTGTGAAATAAATCAGGTTATCATTCTAAAACCCATCTATAGTCACTCTGTCAAGGGTCAGTATTTTTGCAGTAACTAGGAATATTGGTGAGCTGACACATGTCTACATGATACAGAAATTCTTTACCAATCAGTCTATGATTTTGTTTGTTTAGTGGTTATATAAAGTGTTACTGGCACTATGTCAAACAAGGAGGAGAAATTAAATTTGCTTAGACCTTTTTCCAGAATTGTTTGAGAAAATGGTAACTGATGCTGAGCCTTGGATCTTCCAGGATTTATGTTTCTCACGTTTTGACTTTATCACAGTTGAGGAGTATGTACACACCATACCAGGCAGAAAAGTTTGTTTTGTGATCAGACAATTTTTAACATAAGATGCTTCTCATGGGGGGATTACACCTAGATTGATGATTAAAACAGGAAATTAAATGGTAATTATTCTACCATGCAAATTTTTTCTGATTGTTGTTCTGCTAATATTTAAAATGGTGAGCAGTCTTTCTGATATGTTAATGAAGAAATCTGTTTCAGGGTTGGTTAACAGTTGGGAACAGTCAAAGAGCGACTGCAGCCACTGGCATGAATGAGAAGAGTTCTCGTTCTCATTCCATATTTAGCATTATTCTGGCACAAACACAGGTGATGTTTCATGATCTTGACATTTTCTATTTACTGCTGCAAAAAGACCAGTGAAAAATAAAATTGGGTGTTCCGTTGTAGTACAATAGTACTTCTTGAGGAAATTCAGATGTGGATGGGATGTGTAACACTTAAAAATTTTGACATTATTTTGGGCTGTTACTGTAGCAAGTTCTTCTCACAATGTCATTTAGCATTTCTAAATTTATATAGTATTTTTATGGCCTTATTGCATAAAAGAGGAACACAGTGGTGAAATACGTGATATCTGTGTCGTTATATTTCAGTGAAATTAGTATTGGGAATATAAAATACAAATGATTAGGCAGATGTAATTATGTGTATTTAATCTTGGATTGCTGAATATCTCATTGCTGATGATCCATCAGAACTGGAATAAACTTCAAAATATGTATCAAAAGGTGGCAGAGTATGTACAACTTGTCTCCAATCATGTAGTTTTCATTAGTTACGTGAATCAATTCATTGTGCTCTGTGCTAGCCTGGGATATCATAGGCATAATGGTCAGAGGGTTAACAAACTAAAATGAGAAGGCCGTGCCATATCTCAAGCGGTTAGTCGCTGGCCTCCCACCGTGGTGGCCCGGGTTCAATCCCGGGGCTGGTCAAGTGGGATTTGTGGTGGACAAAGTGGCGCTGGGATGGGTTTCTCCGAGTACTTCAGTTTCTCCTGCCAGTCTTCATTCCGCCAAATTCTTCATCATCATAATCACACGGGGCAGGTACAATAGGCCAATCAGTGGCCTCTGTGCTAAAGGGACCCAGTTGGACTCCCCACCCCCACTAAGCAAATTAAAAAAAAAAAACTAAAATGAGAAATAATTTGTGCCTTCCTGCAGTGTTCTGTTGTTAAATAGCTTTTGTCAATAGCAGTTGTGCTAGCAATAGATTTGCATGTGCAATAAATGAACATGAAAAGGAACATAAAATTGAAAAAAAAAAGTGCATTTGGAAAGTGTATATTCCATATTTGGGCGCTTTTTTATTAAGACAATTGAGCGTTTTACAGCAGTCATATGATACACATTAGCCTCCAGAACTGTTTACTCATTTTTTTTTTCCTTTTTGGGAAATAGGAGGAGACTGTGGAGGGAGGTGAATGCCATAAACACTGTCTCTGTAGCAAAATTAACTTGGTGGATTTGGCTGGAAGTGAACGATTGTCACACTCTTGCACCACTGGAGACAGACTGAGAGTAAGTACATTTCTGAAGCTAACTAGGCTTAAGACTTCTTCAAATTATATTTTAGATGGAACATGGAGCCCACTGTAATTTATACAAAGGCAATGAAAGTCTCCTCCTTTCATTTTCTTATTCTCCATTTTTGTGCTTCAAGGGCATCATTTTGAACTAAGCACTATCATGAGATTTATGGTGAACATAATCTCCAAAAGCAGTGGGTGAATTTAAGGAGTGTGAATTTTCCACTGTATATACTCACATTATTTATATACTTTTTAACCAAAAGTTGTGATGCATAAAGTAAGTGCATGCTTAAGTTAAGTTTAAAGATTACTGACATTCCTGTGTAACAATAACTATTACTCTTATTTTGGACATTTTCCATCCTTTTAGTTTCTTTAAAATGCAACATTCAGAAACTGGATCTGTTTCCATCAAGCTCTATACTGTGACCAAATATAAAGGACAAGCGCTCAGCTGCACACCATGCTGAAAATTTCTGTCTGCAATTTTGAATTTAAAATATTTAGGCGAAGTGAAAGATGCTGTCACAGCCAACACTGATATTTTGTTTTGTGTTTTGTGCGCAGGAAGGTGTCAGTATCAATCGTTCCTTGCTGACTCTTGGAAAGGTAATTGCTGCCTTGGCGGATAATGGAAATGGCAAGAAGAAAAGTTTCGTTCCATATCGGGATTCTGTCCTCACGTGGCTGCTGAGGGTAAGTACATGATTTCCATGAAGTAAGCCTGCTACATGTCTGTGGACCTGTCTTGGAAGCTGGATGTCCCTCTTATTTCATTGATTTATTTTCTTTGTAGCTTCCTTTTCTTCAGGAAAGAAGGTAGTCTTATAAGATAACTGTGCTGTTGATGATGGGTTATAAACATATGTACAGATTATGTATGAATAGGTTTGCACAAGTCCCAGTCATCAGGTTGCCATGATGCCTAGAATTTTCTTTCTATGATTCTGAGGTTTTTGTTTTTGTGCAAATGTGACATTTTTAAATTCACGTCATGTAGTTTCAGTTTTGTTGCATAAGTGACGAATAAATTCACATGAATATTTTATTCCCCTTCACTACTGCTTACTCTGTTAGTGAGCAGAGAGGTCTGCTGTCTGCAGAATGCATATATCTCAGTGACAAATTGCATCAGTGTGGGCAAGAGAGTATGCAGCATTGTGATTAGCATATCTAGTTATTTTAAACTGATATTTAGAAGCTTGAGATATTTCATGTATTCTGTATCTCATGTTGCAAACAACTTTCTTAATACATATATTGTGTATTGCTTTGGATGTGTTTGAGTTGAAGAATTTTGTGAGAGTTATTATTTAGCTGTCTGTGAAACATGCAGCAGCAAGTGAGAGGTTAAAATGTATGAAGGAGTCTGAACTGACATTCCAATGGAAAAGAGAGACTCAGAACCTGATCTTCTGTCACTGGCAGTTAAATTGGTAGACATGGCATCAGAAGAAAGCACAAATACATGCAGTCAATCAGCTAAGCAAGGAATGCAAAGCCCAAACAGGTGGAAGAATGTTGGAATGAGAGTAAGTGGCTTAAATTTGACCACAGCACCAATATTGCAGATGTGAGACTTGTGCTTTGTTTCTTGATACACTGAAAAAAGAAATTGAACGCTGTTAAGGGGCTTCATGGCCCCTTTCAAACTCGAAACCTTTAAACAATATGACAAGTCGTTTCAGCTTTGAAATGTATTACAGGCAAAGAAGGCATTTGCTTTTGCAGAATGTCCACCTCTAGCAACATCTTTGAAGAAAGTGAATGAAAGAATGTTTGACCAAATGGCAGTTGTGTTTAATATGTTATGTGTGGGTCAAGCTGATAGCCATAATCCTTTATCAATCATGAAGTACTCCTTGATGGGAGAAATCCCTTTTTGTGCATACATGTACATTGTGCATTCAAGTTCTAAGGTCTCCGATTTTTTTCTCACAATAATCATACAAAAAATTTGAAACTTCTGTTACTTTTCAACGTAATCTCCCTGCAGCCATATACATTTTTCACAACGTCGATGCCATGATTCCATGGCCTCTGCGAACGCTTCTGCAGGAGTCTGTTTTGACCACTGGAAAATTGCTGATGCAATAGCGGCACGACTGGTGAATGTGCGACCACGGAGTGTCTTTCATCGTTGGGAAAAGCCAAAAATCGCAAGGAGCCAGGTCAGGTGAGTAGGGAGCATGAGAAACCACTTCAAGGCTGTTTTCACGAAGAAACTGCTGCGTCGCGTACGCCCGACGCGCTGGTGCATTATCCTGGTGAAAGAGCACACGTGCAGCCTTTTCTGGCCGTTTTTCTCGCAGTGCTGGAAAGAGCTTGTTCTTCGAAACATCTTGGTAGGATGCACCTGTCACCGTAGTGGCCTTTGGAACGCAATGAGTTAGGATTATGCCATCGCTACCCAAAACATGGCCACCATCATTTTTTCAGCGCTGGCGCTTGCCCAAAATTTTTTTGGTGGCGGTGAGTCTGTGTGCTTCCATTGAGCTGACTGGCGCTTCATTTCAGGATTAAAAAACAGCATCCATGTCTCATCCATTGTCACAGTTGATGAAAAGAAAGTCCCATTCATGCCTTCATCACGTGTCAACATCGCCTGGCAAATTGCCATGCGCGCAGCCTTGTGGTCGTCCGCCAGCATTTGTGGCACCAACCTGGAGGACACTTTCCTCATTCACAGGTCTTCATGCAGGATTTTGTGCACAGATCCCATGGAAATGCCAACTTTGGAGGCAATGTTTTCCACACTCAATTGGCGATCCTCCAAAACAACTTTCTCAACTCGCTCGACCATGTTGTCAGACCGGCTGGTGCGAGGCCAAGATTGTTTTGGTTCATTGTCACACGACGTTCGGCCTTCTTTGAACTGTCGCACCCACGAACCCACATTTTTCACATTCATGACACCATCACCACACATCTCACTCAACTGGCGATGAATTTCAATGGGTGTCGCACCATGCAAGTGGAGAAAACGAATGATTACTCACTGTTCTTGTAACGAAAATGTCGCCATTTTAAGTATCAAAAACACTCCTCACCCTTGCCGCCACCACTAGAGTTCTGTGTGCCGTACAGTGCTGCCATCTCTGTCACACATTCACAAAGAGTGCACACGTATTTTAGACTAAACTGCATGTGTCTATCTGCTCCCAGTCCTGAGAAAAAAATCGTAGACCTTAGAACTTGAACGCCCCTCATAGTGTAATGCATTTTGCTGTACTGTAACACTTCAAGGTTAGCTCCATCCCTGCTAGGGATTACCAGCTGACAAATACATCATTGTGGGATTTGAGGTTCTCACAGCACTGGTTAAGAAGAGTTCTGTCTTAGGGATATAACGTCATATATTTCGTTGAAAGCCAACTGACATTATGGAGGAACACATTGTGTCCATCTTCGTGGTTGAAAGGTAAGCCAAGGAGGAAGCAAGATACCAGCAGCTGAGGGGACCAGAGCTCTGCTTGCTGCCTCGTTCATGCTGGTTTCTTCCTTGGCTTACACTTCAACCTTGAAGATAGAGGTGACATGTTCCTCTAAAACATTTGCTGGTTTACAATGAACTACATGGCGTTATATTCCAGAAGACAGAACTCTTCAAATACATCACTGATTTGAATACTGGTTTTCTCTGATTAGCATTCAGACTAAATACAAGTTCATATATTGTTTCACCTGGTCATTACCTCACATTTATGATTACATTTGTTGTTCAGCTGTTCACAAGTATGGCATCACAGATGAGGTCCAGTAAAATTTTAAATGATGATGTTTATGCAGATGCGTTGTGAATTATACTTCTGTTGGCGAACATGAAGGCAGTTGTGGTGGAGTTATTGACAAAGATAAGCCAAGTACTAGTAATATTAAGGGTCAGTGATAGTGTTAAGTCTGAATTTGGAAGAAAGAATGACAATGTAGATCTTGTTCCTGGTTGCCTAGACCCTACATGGAACAAAGTAGACCATGCATGAATAGATGATCTATTTATTGGACAGATGGGGGTGAATAGAGCGGCAGACACTACAGACAGTATATCTGATATTATGGTTTTCAATATAGGCACTGATGTAATTGCAGATAAGATGAAGGAACTGAAACTATGTCACAGACAATTCTGAGAAATAGAAATCTGCAGAGGCTGTGAAATGGCCAGATATAACAGTTGCAGAAGTGAAAAAAGTTTTTGGGACTATTAGTTTTGATGGGTCAGGATAGGAAAAACAACATGAAAAACCACTGGTCAGCAGATTGAGCCATAAACATGCCAGTATTTTTGGAAATGAAACTTCAGCATCAACTTATAACAATCAATGCAGTCAGATTCTTAAAGATCAGCTCTTAATAATTATTTGGTTGAGAAATTCAGAATAATAGCAGTCCACAAAAATGTAAAACTTAGAATATACAAAACTATAATTTTGCCTGTGGTTCTGTATGGGTCTGAAACTTGGTCTCATTTTAAACTGTAAAGCTTCCCCATTAATTAATTTACTCAAAATCTTTTTAAAATCTAAAAATACATATAAATTTATAACATCTGGAGCTTTCAGGGCAGTCAGAGTTGATAAAAATCTTCTTGTCCTCTCAGCTATGTCATTTAGTTAAAAATTACTGACGTTTAGAGGACCATCTCTGTCCCCATCATCAGGGTACCATGTGACATAAGATTGAGACTGCCTCATCTATATACCAGCCCATGGTCACAGCTGAGCATAAGCCAATGGAGTGCTATTGGAGTGAGTCATAAGTTTGTCTTTCTTGGCCCTGTCTCCAGATTGGTTCAGCTCAGTACAAACAATTGTTTTAATTATAAAAACATTTGACATTTGATATCTTTATATAATGGCACTTTCATTCATATTGGCCCCACAGTAATACATGTGCATTGATCATACAGGAACTGGAAACTGCCTCCTGCATACCAAAAGAACTGCTAGCAAAGACCAAATCAGATTTTTTTAAGAAAATTTAAAAGAAGTACAATTAGTTAGATGTGAATAATGGAAAATATTTATGTGTGCAAGTGCCTAGTAGTCAAAATTCTTTACATTTATTACAGTTTTGCATTACCAAAAGATACATGTGTAACACAGTTGATAGTTGGAATTAGCATGATGAAGCTAAGTGGGTAAAGTGTGCAATGTTGATAAGAATGTAATACAAAAATTATTAGTCATTTTTACAAACTGAATTTTTGCCTTAAAAATCTAGTACTTAATAGGTACATACATTTGATATATCTGTGACTCCTTTATATACAACATTTTGTCAGTGATGGCACAAAAAACCATTGTCAATACAAAAGGTAAGCTGTTGGCCAATACTACAAACATTTTTGTAAATAATTCAACCACAAGATGTGGACTGCTGTGAACTGTTGTTCAAAAGGATATTGTTTCTTGCTAGAATACTGTATAAGTGGGTCAGCCATCCAGACAATTTCTACTATGTTTACAGAGTTTACTTCCTAATATTTAAGGTAGAAAAGCATATGTTTATTTTGGTTGCAAGACAGGGGATCAGAACAACCATTTAACAGCTTGTTATTCCTGCTCAGTAAACACATTAGGCATTACTCTAAAGTCTAAACATATGGTAAAGTAAAGGTATCCCTGTAACAGGCTGTGGAGGCCCATATGGTTGTGAGATGTTGAGGTTCCCACATTTTCTAGACAATCGGCTCAAAGATGGCGGTAAGGTTGTCAGCCTTATGCGACAGCCGTCCTTTACCCCCAGGTATATTCCTGGTACTGATTTCTGTTAGAGGCTGGAAGAATTAGGTCAACTGAAAAAATCCAATGACCTCATTGGGACTTGAACCCATGACCTTCCAGCTTGTAGCATAGTGCCTGAACCAACTACACTACTGTGTGCCCCCCTAAACATATGGTACAATATTTAAATTTACCACCAGTCATAAGTGAAGATTTGCACGCTACCACATTCCCCCCCTAAACATATCGTACAATATTTAAATTTACCACCAGTCATAAGTGAAGATTTGCCGATAGTAGTTCAACAGAAACGTGGTATAGAAAATGAAAATGATGAGAAATATAATGACAAAACGCTACGTTATATACTGACTTAGATAATTATGATTCAGATTCGCTGTTTGAACCATTTTGTTCCATAACAGCACCTCACTTAATATGTAGAGCAGATCTGAGAAATTTGTCTATGAATTAAATTTGTTAAAAAAAAAAAGTAGTTTGAGCTTTTGGCTCCTAGATTGACAGGATGGAATCTCCTTGAGAAAGGCACTGAGATACCTTTGTTCTGAAGGGTCAGAAATATTTTTTCTCCCCTCAGAAAGTCAGTTTATTATGTTGTAATAATGTGGACTGTCACGAAAACCATAATCAGCAACAAGACGTAGATGAATGTCTCCTATTTATTGATTCCTCAAAGCTGAGTTTGAAAGCCTTGTTGCTTAATAATTGAAATAAATACACTTCAGTTCCAGTAGCACCTGAAAGATTCATATTACAAAATGCACCATCTTGTGAAACGTATTGTAGGATGAATACCCTTAACATATCTGCGAAGACTTGAAAGTGATCGCACTTCCCCTTGCTTTGCCACTAGGCTATACGAACATTTGTTGTTTCCTCTGTGAATGAGAAAGCCAAGCACAGGAAAGTATTTCCTGAAGGAAATACAGTGGCTTTTTGAACAAGCATTGGTTCCAGGACAAAACAATATCACCAGTCAACCTGCGATTTATCCAGGAAAATATTTTCTTTCCACCAGTGCATATTACACCTACCATAAAAATCTTATTAAGGCTGAGGATCAAAATGGCAGTGGGTTTCTCAGTTTGAAACTGAAATGTCTGAGGATGAACAAGGCCATGTTCAAAGAAGGAAAATTTGTGGATCCACAAATTAGAGAAATCATGGGTGACAGCACATTTGAAGTGGAGTTGAACGAACAACTTGGAGAGAATTTACAATAGTGTCAACACAGTTCATCAGAAACTTCAAGTGTCAGAAATACAAGTCACTTGTTGAAGAGTTTCTCAATGCCTACAAAGTCATGGGATGCAAAATATAATTAGAAATTGATTTTTGGGATGCATATTTTGACCTTTTGCCTACATACTTCGGCACTGTTAGTGATGACCACTGAGAATGTTTTCATCAATAAATATCTGTGATGTAGGAGCAATACCAGGGAAAGTGGAGCCCCACCATGTTCTCTTATTGCTGCTTGATATTTGTAAGGGATGTTCAGAAATGAAATACAAGTTTACACCATCAGTAGCTACATTTTAGGAGAGTTCAGTATGCAATTTTTGCTTTAACATTTTTACTGTCTAAATTAGCCCAAATTTTATTTTCAGTTCATTCAAAATTGGTGGGTAATGGACAGATTTTGAGGTAATTTCTCAACTTAGCATTGAGACATCTATAAAAGCCACCTGTTTTGTACATATGAGAAATAGTTCTTTCCTGATATGTTGGGATTTTGGACTTTATCCATCCTGGTTTTTAAGATAACAAATAAAAACACGACGTTTCGGAAACTGGATCTGTTTCTGTCCTCAGGTGAAGGAAAACACCTATTCAGTTGGGTCCCTTAGAAAGAGCTAGCCTCAATCACTGGACCATCGTCAGAATCCTATAGTAACTAGTTCTTTCCTGTCACTCAGTGTTATAGGAGAAATCCTTTAAAGCTATCATATTCCATGTCTTGTTAGGAATTAAGATGCTGGTCATTACATAGTTGCAAATAAATACCCCCAGAAGGAAAGGTAGATGCTGTGAAGGAATATAATCTTATGAAGTTGATCTATTTTCCTCCCCTTTACTGTGTACTTCATGCATGTAACACATTCACCATGCTTGTAAAGAAAAGGACATGAGTCCACAGGAAGTGTATAAACATCAGTTTATATTTTTTCATTCCACTGAATGCATGTCTTTACTTTTCATCTCTTTAAAATTATCACATCTTGAAATCTCATCATATCATGATCATTAAATTTCCCCCCCCCCCTTTCCAGTCATTTATTTTAATGGGATTAGTAACCGTTACCCAACTTTGTCAGTACCCGACCAACGTGACCTGAACATTTGTAGTCTCAAGGCTGTGCCATGCTTCTAACTTCAATGCAATATCAGGATGCTGTAATGATGATTTTATTGTCTTCTTTCTGGTTTGCATTACTGATTTCTCCATTAGTGCATAGTGTCAGTATAGTAGTTGAAAAGTGGAAGATGAACCACTACTATACGTCGATGCTTGCACTCCACTTTGCAGGTTTTGCAGCAGCCATGCACCTTACACATTGCACAAGGCTTCTTCTTCTTATCATCTGTAATCACAACATTACCATGTGTAACTAATGCCTGAAAATATATTTATTTGCCTATCACAGAGTGGGTTGGTCTAGTGTCAGTTCTTTAGATCCATATTTAGAATGTACTTCATTCAAATTTTGTCCAAGACATCAGCTATCCTGACTGAGAATTTCATGGTTTTTCCCCAGTCCTCCCAGAAAAATTCTTGGATAGTACCTCAATTAGGCCATAATTCCATCCTTCCAGATCTGTTCCAGTTCATCAATTCTAGCATTTTACGCTCTACAGTCTGGATACTGATAGCACCTTTAAATATCCCAGTGTCCCATCACACTGCATGTCATGAGAATCATAATAATTTGATTGATTCTTCAATGTTCAAAGCTTTATAAGCATGTAATTTAGTAGGACCAACATGAATGATGAAGTAATTGAAATGAGAAAGGAAATATATCTGTTCAGTCCTCCATTCCTTCACCAGTATTTGTGTGACAAGCTAAAATGCAAGTTGCAATGTGTTCAGTCTGGAGTACCTGTATTTTCCAAATATGTATTTGCAATTTTGTATCATATGTTTTATGTTTATTTATTGCATACATATTGCATGAAACCTTTGATTCCTTATTAAATGTCATAATGGAACCTGAGAGCTTGAGGCTAACATTTTGCAACACAGCATATGGATGGACAAGATGAACAACATTTTTCCACATTCTGTGTTGTTTGTTGTTATGGCGTGAAGGGGGGGGGGGTGGAGGTACCTCCACCGCTTCTGCCACTGTACCTCTCTTAAGCCGCCGCTACACCTCTATTATGCCGAGGTGACAGAGGGCGTGGAAATATCCCGCTCTGTCACCCTGTTTAGTATGCTGCCACCATCTTGTTATTTTCAAGAATTCTAGTAGACTTATCGTAGCTTGCGTCACTGTCCTGGCTTAACTCGTAATTCGCCGGAGTGTTGGGAGGTCCTGGAGTCGTCAAGGAAGAGGGTAACACTTAAGGAAAGGCTGGGTTGAATTAAACTCTTACACATTCCTATCCTATTCTATTTACCT